GACAAAGGAATTAATGTACAATTGCTATGGATCCCATCACACATTGGATTACTCCTTCATGATAAAGTTGATATGTTAGCCAAGAAGAGTACCCAGAAGGAGAATGTAGAATATAACAAGGCACAGTACTCGCTCCCATCTTGTTCCTCATCCTTATATCCGACATAGACAAGGATGTCAGCCACAGCACCGTGTCTTCCTTTGCAGATGACACCCGAATCTGCATGACAGTGTCTTCCATTGCAGACACTGCAAAGCTCCAGGCAGACATCAACCAAATCTTTCAGTGGGCTGCAGAAAACAATATGAAGTTCAACGATGAGAAATTTCAATTACTCAGATATGGTAAACATGAGGAAATTAAATCTTCATCGGAGTACAAAACAAATTCTGGCCACAAAATAGAGCGAAACACCAACGTCAAAGACCTGGGAGTGATCATGTCGGAGGATCTCACCTTCAAGGACCATAACATTGTATCAATCGCATCTGCTAGAAAAATGACAGGATGGATAATGAGAACCTTCAAAACTAGGGAGGCCAAGCCCATGATGACACTCTTCAGGTCACTTGTTCTATCTAGGCTGGAATATTGCTGCACACTAACAGCACCTTTCAAGGCAGGTGAAATTGCCGACCTAGAAAATGTACAGAGAAACTTCACGGCGCGCATAACGGAGATAAAACACCTCAATTATTGGGAGCGCTTGAGGTTCCTAAACCTGTATTCCCTGGAACGCAGGAGGGAGAGATACATGATTATATACACCTGGAAAATCCTAGAGGGACTAGTACCGAACTTGCACACGAAAATCACTCACTACGAAAGCAAAAGACTTGGCAGACGATGCACCATCCCCCCAATGAAAAGCAGGGGTGTCACTAGCACGTTAAGAGACCATACAATAAGTGTCAGGGGCCCGAGACTGTTCAACTGCCTCCCAGCACACATAAGGGGGATTACCAACAGACCCCTGGCAGTCTTCAAGCTGGCACTGGACAACCACCTAAAGTCAGTTCCGGATCAGCCGGGCTGTGGCTCGTACGTTGGTTTGCGTGCAGCCAGCAGCAACAGCCTGGTTGATCAGGCTCTGATCCACCAGGAGGCCTGGTCACAGACCGGGCCGCGGGGGCGTTGACCCCCGGAACTCTCTCCAGGTAAACTCCAGGTAATTAAAAGGGAGGTGATGAGGGAAAGTGTGGGTGGGGGGGGGTTTGGCCAGGATCCATAACAGATTGCAACGGATGTATACAGGAGTTGAGTTGCATGAGTGTGAAACTGTGTTGAGGGCTCTGGCGTGGGATCGAGAGCCAGCAAAGGTTAAAATAGGTGGGTTGTTTTGATTGTTAGCCGGGAGGGTTGTAGCGCCTGTAGAGGGAATTTTCCCCATGTATGCATGGGGAAGTATATGGAATAGGTTGAGTAGGATGAGGTTGCAACCTCTGTTCGGGATGAAATTTGTTTCGTTTTCTGCAGGGCATTTACCGTCGGGTGTGGTTCAAACGGATAGACGCGTCGTTGACGGGGGGAGTGTGGGATATGTGGGGGGGAGGAGTCGGCTTTTCATGTAGTATATTTTTGTGATGGAATGAGGAGTGTCAAGGGTGGTTAAATAGGGTGATAAATAGGATAGGAGGTAAAGGAATTTCTGTATTGAGAGCATTAAGTCTCGACGGGGGGGGTTTTGGGAGGAAAGTGTAATCAGAGCTGTGGGATACATTATGGCAGATTAATCTATATAGTGTTGGGGATTGCGGGGAAACAGGTTACTGAGGTGAAGGGAGGGTGTTAGCGGTAACGTTCTATAAAACGGTATGCAGAAATAAGGAAATTTTTATGGAGGAGGTGGGTGAAGGATTTTTCAGAGGGATATAGGCAAACTTACGTTAACAGGTTTTATTAGACTTGTAATATACGAGGGAGGGGAGGGTACGTTTGGGAAAAGTGTTGCTGGGGTAGGGAAGTCATGGGTGAAAACGGGGTCGCCCTCCTGGTAATGGATGACAACAAATGTTTGCGTGAGTGTTGGATGAATGATGCGTGAGTGAATAATATGTGGACCACGGGTGCTGGCACCTGTGGAGCTGGCCAGTTTTTTGTGTGACATGGACTATACACTATTCATATAGTACTCCTGTCCTTCAAGGTAGTAGTGTTTGATGGATAAGTATTCAAGGGGGGGGGGGTTGCCTACATCACTGTGCAGAGCGAGGGTAGGGCAGCATATTGATTGGAAGTGATGGACAGTTGCTTGTCCAGTGTGTTAGTATTATGTGTAGATAATACGCATATTATTGTATGTAGCGAGATGGGACTACATGCAAGTTGGACTTGTACTATAAGAATTACTCTCTAACGCCTGATATGTGAAGGCTGATTGATCAACTGTGATCCATTCAAATTAGATTTATTATTATGTTATCTATGTACATAGCAGTCTTAAGTCATATTATTATGTTGTTATCTATGTACATAGCAGTCTTAAGTCATATTATTATGTTGTTATCTATGTACATAGCAGTCTTAAGTCATATTATTATGTTGTTATCTATGTACATAGCAATCTTAAGTCTATTATTATGTTGTTATCTATGTACTATCAGTCTTAAGTCATATTATTATGTTGTTATCTATGTACATAGCAGTCTTAAGTCATATTATTATGTTGTTATCTATTTTTACAAAAGCAGTCTTAAGTCTATGATGTGAGTTGTGTTTAGGTGCAGTTGTCACAAAAATTTTGTTTTGTTTCGTCTGTGTTAGGGAAGTATGTGGAATTTTTGTGTAGCCGCTACATGGCTGCGGTTTATACTTGATACCTTTGTATTCTGTGATGTTTTTCATAATATACAGTTTTATTTATATACTATGTTGCATGAATAGGGTTTACATGCTAAGACTGCAACTAAGTTGCCTTTGAGAGTTGACATTCAATATTGCAACCTTCTTAGAAAATTAAGCTTTTGGGGTTTTCTTTCACCAGGTTGAGGTGTCATTGTGTTAAGTAATGACATGTATCCCATTTAATTGTTATTAATATTTTTGTGTCTAAGATGTTACTGTATCACTCATGATAGTGTAATTCCTATGTATCCTTTAATGTTAAGTTAAGATGCAGTCAGGTTGGTGATGGTTATATTTTGCGAGAGGGGGGGGGGTGAAATTGTGGCAAAAGTTTCAGCCTTCACAGGTATTTAACTCTGGTATAACTGGGGGTATTTTGGTGTGTGGTATTAGGGTGTCACAACACTTTTGTCTGTTGTAATCATTTTTGTAAGGGTGAATTGGGAATTTGTGATTTAACTCATTTTGTGTACCTTTTAACATAATTTCCACCTTGTATTGTAATGTTTTAAATAAAATATAAAAAAAAACTCTTTCACAGTGGTTGTTTTGCATATATATATATAATATATATATATATATATATATATATATTATATATATATATATATACATATACAAACTTTATCTCTACGTCCACAGCAGGACTCGAACCTGTAAACTCTGCATCAGAATATACAGTACTTTATCCACAATGCCAGACTCCAGATAACTATGGGCGCCTAGCTTTGTAAACAGGCAAAATTATTTGCAAACACTATTTCTACGTCCACAGCAACAATTACTGGTTGTGTTCACTCACTGGTTGTGTTCACTCACTGGTTGTGTTCACTCACTGGTTGTGTTCACTCACTGGTTGTGTTCACTCACTGGTTGTGTTCACTTACTGGTTGTGTTCACTTACTGGTTGTGTTCACTTACTGGATGTGTTCACCCACTAAATGTGTTCACTTACTGGATGTGTTCACCCGCTAAGTGTGTTCACTCACTGGATGTGTTCACTCACTGGATGTGCTCACTCACTGGATGTGTTCACTTACTAGTTGTGTTCACTCACTGGATGTATTCACTTACTGGTTGTGTTCACTCACTGGATGTGTTCACTTACTAGTTGTGTTCACTCACTGGATGTATTCACTTTTCTGGTTGTGTTCACTCACTGGATGTGTTCACTTACTAGTTGTGTTCACTCACTGGATGTGTTCACTTACTAGTTGTGTTCACTCACTGGATGTATTCACTTACTAGTTGTGTTCACTCACTGAACGTGTTTACTCACTGGGTGTGTTCACTCACTGGATGTGTTCACTCCCTGGACGTGTTCACTCACTGGATGTGTTCACTCACTGAACGTGTTCACTCACTGGATGTGTTCACTCACTGAACGTGTTCACTCACTGGATGTGTTCACTCACTGAACGTGTTCACTCCCTGGACGTGTTCACTCACTGGATGTGCTCACTCACTGGATGTGTTCACTCACTGGATGTGCTCGCTCACGGGATGTGTTCACTCACTGGATGTGTTCACTCACTGGATGTGTTCACTCACTGGACGTGTTCACTCACTGGATGTGTTCACTCACTGGACGTGTTCACTCGCTGGTGGTGTTCACTCACCGGATGTGCTCACTCACTGGATGTGTTCACTCACTGGATGTGCTCGCTCACGGGATGTGTTCACTCACTGGACGAGTTCACTCATTGAACGTGTTCACTCACTGAACGTGTTCACTCACTGAACGTCTTCACTCACTGGATGTGTTCACTCACTGGATGTGTTCACTCACTGGATGTGTTCACTCACTGGATGTGTTCACTCACTGGATGTGTTCACTCACTGGATGTGTTCACTCACTGGATGTGTTCACTCACTGGATGTGTTCACTCACTGGATGTGTTCACTCACTGGATGTGCTCACTCACTGGATGTGTTCACTCACTGGATGTGTTCACTCACTGGACGAGTTCACTCACTGAACGTGTTCACTCACTGAACGTGTTCACTCACTGAACGTGTTCACTCACTGGATGTGTTCACTCACTGGATGTGTTCACTCACTGGATGTGTTCACTCGCTGGATAAGTAAGTGGGGTTCATCACTAATTCCTTCAGCAGCAAAATTGCTTAAAATATGCATTAGCCACGAGAACCAAGATGGTAGCTATTAGTGGCTGATTTGAAACAAAGAATTAAGTTATTTTTCTACCATTTCAGCTGTGAAATGTTTGCGGTGTGTGGTTGGAGTGTAGTGTTGCTGTTGCTGTGGTACTGTGGCGTCACACCGGGCCTACAACCCAGTGTTCGACTAATACAGTCACCGTCGGGGAATATTTTCATGATGGAGAACACTACTTTCCTCCCAGCTAATGCGTTTCTTGTCCTCCCCAGCACCAGCTTCTGTAAGTAATCAATGGTTTGGGTAGGGAAAATAGACACGCGAAATCCCCAAGAACAATTATTTGGACTGACTATTCCTTACACACAGTAGTTACATAAATCCTCTGGAAGGAGGGTTTATATAACTACTTGTCTAGCAAGTTACAATGAAGGATAAGTATTTAGGGTAAATTAAGGCAGCAATGAGAATGGGTGAAAAACAATTCTGGCTCGAAAAATAAGCAAACATTGGGTAAGAGCTGACCAGTGTAACGTGTTGAAAGTTGTCAGGGCTGGATTAATAACTTTAAAGGCCCTAAAGTCCCTGATGCCTTTTAAGGCCCTTCAGTCTCCAATACCTTTAAAGGCCCTAAGCACATCTGCTTCTGTGTTAGTAGATAAGGCATCCAGGCTGTCTTGTCTTGTTGCATAGTTCTGTCGGTATTTTTAATATACTTTACCTGAGAAAATGAACGCTCAACTGAGCAGTTTGTGACCATTAATGTTAAAAATATACTAAAGCAAATGTCTACATTTGGAAAGTCACACTCAACATTGTCTGCTAAAATTATTTTATAAAGTTCAGCATGACTGAATCTTGTTTTTACATTTTTGTTGCACTGAACTTATGATGCACATATGAGTGAAACTATTGAAGCTCAGCTGAGAAATTAGAGTTAAAGTTCTCTGAGTCAACATCAGCGTTTGACAACACTGAGAATACTTTTCAGTTTCAGTAGATGATGAAGTGACATTATGTGGCACATCACTTAGAAAAGAAAATCTCTCTGCTATCTCTTTGTATATCTCTCCTCTTCTTCTCATCTCATTTTCAAGTTTGTCAACAATTGTGTAAAAGGTGGTGAGACGAAATGTATCTCAGACATTCAGATATACTTCTGGTGCATCTCCTTCATTGGGTAACTTCTTTCTGATACGTTTGCGAGTCTGAGCTGCCTTGTAATCAACATCTGGTAGCATTTCCTTTGTAGCTGCTTCATATCTTTCAGATTCATCTGGTGAAGTGCGCAATTGGACGGCTAATGATCCGTACAGATCTACATATATTTTTAAGTTCACATCATCATTCTGTAGAGCTTGACTTACTCTATGAAAATTTTGCACAATCTCATTCCCAAAATATCAAAGTAAAAACGAATTCTAGCTCTTGGATCTTATTTGCAATATCATTTGCTTCTCTTCTAGTGTCTCTTTTGTGACTGGTCTTCAGCAATACATTTTTATTCTTCTTAATTTTTAAGGGAAGATTTCAAAATTGCTGTTGTTGCCATAGCATGCGTCTCCCATCTGGTATCTGAGAAGGATTTTAAGACACTTTCATTTCCAATACAACATATAGGAATTTTCCACCGGCTGGATGAGGCTGTTAAAAGATATAGAGCAACTGCACCGTAGAGAAGAAATTAACCCCCTCTTGACAGCAGTCAACAGTACTAGATTTAGTGAATGGCCTGCACAGGGCACATATATAGCAAACTTATTTGCTTCTAAATTTTTTTGCTACATTCTCTTATAACGCCCAGACATGTTAGTGCTGTTGTAAGATTAACTCCTACATTTCGTAAAGTTTAGCTTACAAACTTCACGCAAGTGCTGTAATACCTAATTTGTCAATTCCTCAACGGTATGGCTTTTCATTTACAGAAAGGTTAAAAAGCGTTCAATAGGCTATCCATCTTTTAAGTACCTAAGTACAACACTTAACTGATAGATATGTGATAGATCTGGTGTTGAATCACAGGACAAACTAAAATAACCAGAAGATTTTACTTCGTCAAGAATGAGCGCGTAGACCTTTTGAGTCATTGAATGAGCTCTTCACTGGTGATTTTCGACAGGTAAGAAGGATTTCCTTTGCCAGAATTTCCATATTTTGGAATGTGAAATGTTAAAATAGATCAAACTGGCTAATGAGCTCAAGCAGCCCTAAAAATTCCCATTCTGCAATGATCCAAATCTTTCTTCTGTTCCTCGAAAAGCCAAAACACGTTCAACTAACTTAAGAATAACAACTATGACAGGACTTAAGACATGTTCCCAGTAATAACAACTATGACAGGACTTAAGACATGTTCCCAGTAATAACAACTATGACAGGCCTTAAGACATGTTCCCAGTAATAACAACTATGACAGGCCTTAAGACATGTTCCCAGTAATAACAACTATGACAGGCCTTAAGACATGTTCCCAGTAATAACAACTATAACACGCCTTAAGACATGTTCCCAGTAATAACAACTATGACAGACCTTAAGACATGTTCCCAGTAATAACAACTATAACACGCCTTAAGACATGTTCCCAGTAATAACAACTATAACACGCCTTAAGACATGTTCCCAGTAATAACAACTATGACAAGCCTTAAGACATGTTCCCAGTAATAACAACTATGACAGGCCTTAAGACATGTTCCCAGTAATAACACTCTTCCTGAATTTGCTTTTCAAAGTGTTGTACCAACCCGGCACCTTTTCTGTGAGTTATGTTTATTTATTTATTTATTTATTTATTTGAACATGATACAGGGAAGTACAAAGGAATACAGTTATTACAGTGCAACATGCCAAAGCCCCTTGTATGCAGAGCATTATGGGCAGGCTTAAAATTAACTTAAGATTAACTAAGCAATGATATATTCAGTGGTAAAAACATTATTGTAAACAGATAACAATCTAGCACAAATGAGTATTACAAAGACAGGTCATATGGTCATTTACTGTGTTGCTGTGTATTCAATAGAATGGAGTGTTCTGTTAGGTAATGTATTTAAAAAAAAAGTTTGATTGGGTCACAGGTTAGACATTTATGAGATACAATAATGAGAAACATTTATGAGATACAATTTATGAGATACAATTATTCAGTATTTATTTAGTTGTGGGTGAGTAAGTGATTTTTGAGAAGAAACTTGAATATATAAACAGACAGTGTTTCCTTTATATTCACAGGTAATGAATTCCAGATTTTAGGGCCTTTTATGTGCATTGAGTTTTTGCATAGTGTGAGATGGACACGCGGAACATCAAAAAGTGATCTATGCCTTGTGTTATGGTCATGTATTTTGTTGAGGTTGGTAAGGAGACGTTTGAGGGGAGGGTTTATATCAGAGTTAAGTGTTCTATGAATGTAGTAGGTGCAGTAATAAGTATGGATGTTTTGTATGGTGAGTAGGTTTAGAGTTTTGAATATTGGTGGAGTGTGCTGCCTGTAGTGGGAATTTGTTATTCTGACTGCAGCCTTTTGTTGGGTAATTAATGGTCTGAGATGGTTTATTGTTGCTGAGCCCCATGCACAAATTCCATAGGTGAGATAGGGGTAAATAAGTGAGTGATATAGGGCCAGGACGGCTGACTGTGGAACATAGTACCGTATCTTCGATAGTATGCCTACGGTCTTGGAAATTTTTTGGGAAATTTGTTGTATATGTGTTTGAAATTTGAGTCTATTATCAAGATGGATTCCTAAGAATTTTCCCTCTGTGAGTTTTGTGATAGGTGATCCGTTTATCATTATGTTAAGAGGGACATCTGTAGCTCTGTTGCCAAACTGAATGAAGTAGGTTTTGTCAATGTTTAGAGTAAGTTTGTTAGTCCTCATCCAGGTAGATATTTTCTGTAATTCGGTATTTACAGTATTGGCTAGCGTGACTGGGCTCGGGTGAGAGAAGACGTATGTAGTGTCATCTGCAAATAGTGTGGGTTTGAGTAGTTGCGATGCATTTGGTAAGTCATTTATGTATATGAGAAAGAGAAGAGGGCCTAGGACACTTCCCTGTGGGACACCAACTGTAATTGGCTGTGCGGAAGAGTTTGCCCCGTTTGTGTACACACATTGGCTTCTGTTGCTGAGGTAAGACTTTCGGTAGTTGAGGGAGTGCCCTCTTATACCACAGTGCGACAATTTTATATAGAGCAAGTCATGGTCAACTGTATCAAAAGCTTTACGTAAGTCAATGAAGATCCCCAGTGGGACTCTTTTTTTCTCTATTGCAGTGTATGTGTGTTCTAGCATGTGTATAATAGCATCATTAGTATTTTTATTAGGCCTGAACCCAAATTGACAGGGGGTTGAGTATGTTGTGGGAGATGAGGTAGGAACGGTGAGAAGTGCATTTTTCATGATGATCAATGACAATAGTATTTCGCCAGTCACTGAACCCTTCTCATATAAAAAAAATGTGAGAAATTTTTAGGAGTAAGCAGTTTACAAACAAAACAGTGAACTGATCCTGTTAATGGTAAATACAATAACCTCTCTCTCTCTCTCTCTCTCTCTCTCTCTCTTTTCTCTCTCTCTCTCTCTCTCTCTCTCTCTCTTTTTTTTCTCTCTCTCTCTCTCTCTCTCTCATCTCTCTCTCTCTCTCTCTCTTTTCTCTCTCTCTCTCTCTCCTCTCTCTCTCTTTTCTCTCTCTCTCTCTCTCTCTTTTTTTTTTTTTTTCTCTCTCTCTCTCTCTCTCTCTCTCTCTCTCTCTCTCTCTCTCTCTCTCTCTCTCTCTCTCTCTCCTCTCTCTCTCTTTTTTCTCTCTCTCTCTCTCTCTCTCTCTCTCTCTCTCTCTCTCTCTCTTCTCTCTCTCTCTCTCAGTGTGGTGCTGACAGTCACTGGGTTCACAGGTAATTAAATAAGCCACATGAGCAGAGAAATCAAGCCACAACCCTGAATCTTTTGCTATATTTACTTCATCTTTTGCAGACTGAATCATTTCACTACCATCACCATGGTCCACTAAACTTTCATTTTCAGCAATTATTTCAACTCTAGAATGTCTTATAAAAAAAACTTGAATCAACATTTGAAGTAGAAGAATCAAGAAAATTTACAGGCAAAGTGAGATCATTTGTGAGACGTGGTAGATGAACCTGCTTGTGATACCTCACTGATTCCAGAGTTATCATATTTTGATTTTGAAGTGATCAAAGAGGTATTTGTGTCCGCTTCTGATGACTGAGATTGAATCGGTATATCATATTATGGAACTCGTATGAAGAAATCAGTCAGCTTTGCAGTCTTGCACACTAAATTCAAAGTCTTCTCTTGTTTCTTTTTTAACTAAAAACATTTCATCTTGGTTCTTGGGGTCTGTAAAATATAGAAATAAAATGAATATTTTGTATATTATGTGGCAATCAAGACATTTAAATTTATCACAGGGAGAACCATGATACCAAGAATTTAATTACTAGCTTACAGCTGAATCTTGTACTCTTGTGAACAAGAAAAGTTATCTCCAAAATTCTCGCCAACACTGTAAAAAAAACTCCAAATTTGGAGAAAACCCATATCTGGCAACACTATACTTGTATTTCCAAGATTAATGTGTATCATTAACCTCAATTATTACTATTTTATTATTATGTATATATATATATATATATATATATATATATATATATATATATATATATATATATATATATATATATATATATATATATATATAAATTTGCATTTATAATATTGCACTGATTATGCAATATAAAATTGATATATGCAATTTATGTACATTCTCTATATACATTCTCTTATACATGTGTATATTTTGTCGACCAAATCACTAATTAGTGAAGTCAGGTTATTAATAATTCATTTACAGTCCACAAACATAATTTACCAGTGGTGGTTTAAATTTAATAATTCATAACTATTAAAGGTCCAGCAGCTTGTGTGAGTGTAGGATGAGTGGGTGGGTATCGACCCAGTGTCCCTAAAATCCTCCTTATCCCCGAGGTACAACTAATATCAATAATAATATTGAATATTTAATATCTTTATTTATTACAAGTACATTTACAAGGTATACAATCCTAGTTGACATCAGTGACGTACTACTATATAGAAAGCCGCTTGTTATGCTGATCATTTCAGGCAAATTAGGTCAGTTTTGTCCCAGGATGCGACCCATACCAGTCGACTAACACCCAGGTCCCCAATTTACTGATGGGTGAACGTAGACAACCGGTGTAAGGAAACACGTCAAATGTTTCCACCCCTTCACCGGGAATCGAAATCGGACCCTCACCGTGTAAAGCGAGAGCTTTTGCCACCAGGCTACGGGGCACCATAAATGTTCTGTCTATTTTATGTGTGCCCTCCTCATATTATGTGTGTGTAATAATTCAGGACTGTGCCTGCAAATTTCATTCATATAATTTCTCACAGTATTGTTCCAGTCACGGTATCCCTACTAAGGCATATTCCTAATGGTTGTCGGATTCTGTTTTTTTTTCTTTCGTTTCAAAGTTTTTGCACAATAAATTGAGAACACTTCATCTGATCAGTTTCAAATTTTAATTATTAGTCTTCTTTACAAACTTAATAATAACTTTCAAGTTGTTATTGAGTGTATAGTTGCCAATTTCCCAAATATGAATGAATAAAGACCTAAAATTGGTTTGATAACAAAAGAACGCCTCTTCTGATCGGGTTTAAACTTCCAACACTGGTATATCATACATAAAGGAAGGTTCGCAATAACTTGTAATTACAAACTTGACTGTGTTTAAAATGTCAACAGTGGTGTATCGTACTTACAGATTAAAATTGATTATACAAATTAAGATATTGCTTTGTGTTCAATAACTTTAGAACCCACCTATCTATGTTGGCTTGTGATGAATGGTTTGAAAAACCGACAAGTTGAAGATTGAGACACTTATGCAGCATATGGGAATCTTTATTCAGGAAACGTTTCGCCACACAGTGGCTTCATCAGTCCAATACAAAGAGGAAGGCGTAAGGAGAGGAGGAGAATGGCTTCAAAGTTGATGTTAGAGTTGATGCACAACCTGAGGTAGACATCCCCTGATTGCCATACACCAGCCCCCTCTACCTCAGTGCCTTCAAGAGACAACGTAAGTCCCTTATGTCCCTCAAGAGGCAGAGTAGCTGTAGCTCAACCCTCTAAAAAGATTCTGAACTAAAGATCAACACCTGCGCGAGGTCCAGGAGCCTTAGTAACCTACTCATAAAGCTTCGTACCTTTAGTTTAACACCTTAAAAAGGGCCAGGAGCTGCAGATTCAAACGCTCAAGAGGAAGAGGAGCTTGAACTCTCCCAGGCAAACAAGAATTTATGTTGAAAAGAGTATAAAATACGGACAAGTTGATGAATAAGACACATGTGCAACACTTGGGTATCTTTATTGACGAAACGTTTCGCCTACACGGTAGGCTTCATCAGTCAAATACATGTTGCACATGTCTCTTAATCATCATAAGAACATAAGGAAGGAGTAACACTGCAGCAGTTTAAATGACGTATACTATGCAAGTCCTCAAACCCAAACCAACTAACAAAAATATTTGCCCATCATTTTCATTTGGAAGAATTGATCACCCTATCAACATTTATTTTTACTTCACCCTTGAATGAGTTACATATACATTTTTAACTAAAACTGCAAATTGGCATCTACAAACCCGGATCGTTTGTGTAGAGCTAAAACTACTACGTCAATTTAAGGTTCTGATCTCCAGTTTCTGTATATATTGAGAAGGTTAAAGTATAGCTTCTGGGGCTCTTGAGGGAGTTTGGTTGTAGCTCCTCTAACATTTGAGGTTTGATAGGTACAGCTGCTACGACTCTTGTGTGCACTGAGGTTCAGGGGTCTGAGATCAGGGGATACTAGGGATACCCTACTCGGGTAGTGCAAAGCAAGAAAGATACATGTATCTGGTTAAAATAAAGAATTTGTACAAACCCTTCGTACGTTCATATTCTTACTAAACAGGCATGTGTAAGAACCAGTGCATGGTGACAGGGAATTGCAGTGCATGGTCTTTGGTGCAGAATGTTGGAGGTGGGAGCGAGTGTAGACTTGCTAGAGGAGGACCCACCAACTACCCCACCATCAACGCCACCAACGCCACCTACTTCTACAGGCAAGGTCAGAGAAACACAGACAGACAGACAGACAGACAGACAGATAGACAGACAGACAGAAACAAGAGACAGTGAACCGTTTTTAATCACCCATGATATATAAACTGCTAGCTTAAAGCATATGCAGTAATTATGTCAGCAAACTGCGATAACAACATATTTCAAGATAAAATTTTAGAAAATAATTCGTAAACTGCCTTCATTGCAAGTTGCTTAGAACACGTGAGGCTGAATTTGTTCATGATACCCAGGCTGGTTGTTGCCAGGTTAATGCTATCAATATATTATAACTTAAAATTTCCTCTCCTTCTATCCACATACTTTTCCTCTCTCGTCCATATATAATTTTCGTTGTTCCTCTCTGCACAGATGGAGAAATTATCGTAAAAATTAATTCCCAAATAAAAGAAACACTTTCTGTATTGGAACGGAAACTTCGAAGCTCCGGTAGCTGATGAATCCTTAATGGAATACCTGACATCGTCATTACCCTACTGAAGTGTGGCAGTTCAGGCTAAAAGATTCTAACATTATGTTTGTGACTTATCCTGAAAGATGGAATATGACAATAAAACACAGTTAACTTTTGTTCCCACTACATAACTATCATATAGAATAGGGTAACAACCCATTGCTGGAGTATCCAATTTCTCTAAATAAAACAAAAATTGTTACAGCCATAGGATTTTCTCTCATCAGTGGATGGTTCTTGAGAAAACTATTCAATAACCTTCTTATAGAGAGCTACAAATGTATAACTATGTACTTGGAGACATTTTTTAAATGACAGACACATTGTAGTCGCTAAGACATTCGCATCAGCTCCTAACGACAACCTGTGTTTCAGCAGCGTAGACATACACTTCTGCCTGTCATTATGCTTTATCTACTCCAGACTTTTCGGTAGAACACCAAGAGTCCTTCAAGCAACTGTAACAAGACCAGTTACCTTAACTTGTAATAATTGTCTTTTTCAGTTTATTCCGGATATCTAGTTGTCAGGATTTTGGATGTATAATTCACGCTCTCTAGTAGATATGGCACCTTGCTCAAATCATCTCCGCAGTCTAATATGTAACACCTTATATCATCCTTGCTATCTAGCAAATGTAACACCTGAATCTATAACTTAAAAACAAATAGAACACAAAGGGTAATTGTAAACAGAGTATACTATGAGGCAGCCACAGTGAAAAGCTCTTCCACAAGGCGCAATACTCGCCCCCACCCTGTTCCTTATCCTCATATCTGACATAGACAGAGATGTAAGTCACTGCACCGTGTCTTCCTCTTGCATGAAGGTGTCATCCATCGAAGACACTGCAAGACTCCATGTGGACATCAACCAAATCTTGAAATGAGCCGCAGAAAACAGCATGAAGTTCAATGAAGAGAAATTTCAGTTACTCCTATATGGAAAACTCGAGGAAATTAAAAGTGCATCGGAGTATAAAAAAAAATTCCAATCACACAATAGAGCGATAAACTAATGTGAAGGACCAGGGAGTGATAATGTCAGAGGATCTCACTTTCAAAGCTCACAACTATTTATTTACCACATTTTCAAGGAAAATGATAGGATGAATAATGAGACCCTTCAAAACTAGGGATGCCAGGCCCATGATAATTCTCTTCATATCGCTTGTTCTCTCCAGGCTGGAATATTGCTGCACACTAACGGCCCCTATCGAAGCAGGCGAAATTGCAGGCCTGGAAAATGTATAGAGAACTATAAGTACAATAAGGCACATAAATTACTAAGAATGGTTGAAGTCCCTTGATTTGTACTCCCGGGAACCATTCGAGATAAATATATGATAATATACACTTAGAAAATCCCAGTGGGACTAGTCCCAAATTTGCACACGAAAATCACTCCCTACTAAAGAAAAAGACTCAGCAGGAGATGCAACATTTCCCCAGTGAAAAACAGGGGCGCCACGAGTACACTAAGAGACAATACAATAAGTGTCAGAACCCCAAGACTGTTTAACTGCCTCCCAGCACACATAAGGGGGATTACAAATAGACCCCTGGCTGTCTTCAAGAAGGCGCTGGATAGGCACCTAAAGTCAGTACCTGACCAGCCGGGCTGTGGCTTATAGGTTGGTTTACGTACGGCCAGCAGTAACAACCTGGTTGATCAGGCTCTGATCCACCACAAGGTCTAGTCACAGAGTGGGCCGCGGGGGCGTTTATCCCTGAAACCCTCTCCAGGGATCTTTGATAACTAGTACATGCAGCATCGTATGCAATATCCGGTATTTAATACTTGTGATGCTTTGTTCATGTCATCTTAGCTCTCTAGTAGGTGTACCAACTTTCTTCATGTCATCTCTGCTCTCTGGTAGATATACCAACTTCGTTCATGTCATCTCTGTTCTCTGGTAAGTGTACCAACTTTCTTCTTGTCATCTCTGCTCTGGTAGGTGTACCAACTTTCTTCACGTCATCCCTGCCCTCTGGTAGGTGTACCAACTTTCTTCACGTCATCCCTGCCCTCTGGTAGGTGTACCAACTTTGTTCATGTCATCTCTGCCCTCTGGTAGGTGTACCAACTTTGTTCATGTCATCTCTGTTCTCTGGTAAGTGTACCAACTTTCTTCTTGTCATCTCTGCTCTGGTAGGTGTACCAACTTTCTTCATGTCATCTCTGCTCTCTGGTAGATATACCAACTTCGTTCATGTCATCTCTGTTCTCTGGTAAGTGTACCAACTTTCTTCTTGTCATCTCTGCTCTGGTAGGTGTACCAACTTTCTTTATGTCATCTCTGCTCTCTGGTAGGTGTACCAACTTTCTTCACGTCATCCCTGCCCTCTGGTAGGTGTACCAACTTTGTTCATGTCATCTCTGCCCTCTGGTAGGTGTACCAACTTTGTTCATGTCATCTTTGCTCTCTGGTAGGTGTACCAACTTTGTTCATGTCATCTCTGCTCTCTGGTAGGTGTACCAACTTTGTTCATGTCATCTCTGCCTTCTGGTAGGTGTACCAACTTTGTTCATGTCATCTCTGCCCTCTGGTAGTTGTACCAACTTTGTTCATGTCATCTCTGCTCTCTGGTAGGTGTACCAACTTTGTTCATGTCATTTCTGCCCTCTGATAGGTGTACCATCTTTGTTCATGTCATCTCTGCTCTCTGGTAGGTGTACCAACTTTGTTCATGTCATCTCTGCCCGCTGGTAGTTGTACCAACTTTGTTCATGTCATCTCTGCTCTCTGGTAGGTGTACCACCTTTGTTCATGTCATCTCTGCTCTCTGGTAGGTGTACCAACTTTGTTCATGTCATCTCTGCTCTCTGGTAGGTGTACCAACTTTGTTCATGTCATCTCTGCTCTCTGGTACGTGTACCAACTTTGTTCATGTCATCTCTGCTCTCTGGTAGGTGTACCAACTTTTCGTAAATGGGCCAAATGAGAGGAAATAAGGGTAATGTGATTTTGTCCAAACATCAAGCTCTTCATCTGGGTTGTTGGAGCAATTATAATTAGCAAGTTCGAAGTTTGGTTAATGTGTATGTAGGAAATGTATTGAAGCAGTAGAAGTACATTAGGAGTTGGGGAGTAAGAAGGCAAGGTCGGGGAGTTGTACGTGTGGGGCTGTGAATTACAGAGTTGTTAGTGGATTTGTGGAAGTGAGTTATAGGGGTGTGAGAGTGTAAGTATTAATTGTAGAGGTATTGGAGTTGATATTGTGAGATGGATTGTTAGTGGTGAGCCGAGTGGTATGAGTGAGGGGATTGTTAGTGGTGAGCGGAGTGGTATGAGTGAGGGGATTGGTTGGGGGTGAATTATGAGTTATAGAAGTGTGCAAGTGTATTTGTAGGGGTGTAAGAGTGAATTATACGGGTGGGAAAGTAAGATATAATTGTGGTAGTATGAATGTAAGTTGGAGTCAGGAGCTGTAGTTCAATATCTTCGACTGGCCCAGGTATTGAACTTGCACCCCTCTCCATCACAGCTGAAGTTTAATTGCAATATGTCAGGCATAGAAGCTGGAATTTATCCTTTTCAAACACAGCTTGTTATATCATTAAGGGTTCAGAAGCTGTAGCTCAACACCTTCAGTGGGTCTTGGAACTGGAGATGAGCCCACTCAAATACTGCTTAAATTTCTTGTAAGTTCTGTAAATGAAGGCAGTAGACTTCTAACTAAAATTATTTAAGAAAGCCGATTTCGTTTCCAGTTTATCGAAGGATCAGGAGCTGCTCTGTTTGACTTCCAGGAAATCTGGAGTCAAACACAGCTGTGGTTTGAGGTCAATGAGAAGATCCCTTCAAGAATTTTTCTGGAGATCAACATTGTTAAGAGGCCCAGGAACCTGAGGTCAACTATCTCAAGCACAGCTAAAATCTGAAGTATATCTGTTTAGGTCCAGCTAGATAGATCAGTAGTTTGGTCAAGAGTCAGATTATACCACAATGGCTTTTAGACGAATACCTGTGAAGGGCAAGAACGTATAGGCAAGTCTCTTAACATGTGCTCCTCCTGTTACCTAGCACTGAACAGATACATAGGAATATGTAGACAGCTGTGGATTGAATCTCTGAAGAGGATATAAAAACTACAAAAAATTGGAATAACAATATTAATACTGTATATAACGTATGCAGGCCTAACTAACAACAATGACATGTTACTATATAGAGAGCCTCTTCTTATGAAGAGCATTTTGAGCAAATTATATAATTTTTTGTCTCCAGGATGCGAACCACACCTGTCGACTAACACTCGGGTGCCTGTTTTACTGAAAGGTGAGCAGGGGTCATAGTAGGTGTGCTAAGGAAACACGTCGTAACGTTTTCACCCGTACCGGGGATCGAACCACAGACCTCAGTGTGTGAGCTGAGGTCTGTGGTGACTTTTCTTTCAATGGGTGATCCTAGGTTATTAACTCTACGAAGGCATTAATCCGAATAAAGTCTTCAACAGCATATTATTTTCCCTTCTTTACAGACTCTGTCCCTGGAACATACTCGTGGGAGAAGGACGGTCTGTTGTACCTAAATACCACGATGTTGAGGAAATATGCAGACGCTAAGACATACTGCGCCTCCATACCAGGTCACCGCCTCGGTATCTTCAAGACCATTCAGCAGAAGGACATTCTCCTGGCACTTCCCGTCCTGAGTAGTGAGTAGTTACCTAATGCTTCCAATCTGTTACCTACTGCCTCAGCCTGAACACTAAATAGTTACCTTCTACCCCAGCTTGACCACTGAATAGTTACTGTCCAAACCGAAACACTAGTCAGTTACCTACAGGACTAATCGAGTCCAGCATAATTTTCCGCATAGAACTTTGACAAATGTACAAATGGTGGTAACAGTTGGCTATAAACACTAAAGATAGTAGTTTTCTTAGTGTTATCTTCATCGGTATATTGTTATTGTTGCTCCTGTTGCTGTTGTTGAATCCTTCTTTACCCAGACTTATTTTTGTAAAGTGTTCCATCACTTATGGCAGTGTTGTTTGTTCCGTCCCCATGATGTAGTTTTTCCCCTTCACAGGGTATTATAGTGTTCTTCTCACAATACTGCTGCCTAATGTTGCCTCTCATGAGAAGTTCTTAAACGTAGGTGTCTGATTTTTTTCTTTCTTCCTTCAAGAGTGTTTTGTTTATAATCTGAGAACCCATGTTTGATCGGCTTCAGATTTTCGGCATTAGAAAACTATAACAAGTGAAATGTTCTTGAAACTAGTGGAATGTTAAGGGGCCCTGTCTAGTTAATTTTACATAAATTGTTTTCAGCTTTGGTATATGTCGTAACTTGAGAAAGCCACTTCTGATTGGTTTTAAACTTTTACCACTGTTCTATCCTATACATAGACGGTTAGGAATGTTGTGGAAATGCGTAGGATCAAGCTGGGGAATATTATATACACGTTTCGCGAATTACGTTGGGTCGCATGTAACCCAACATCATTTGCAAAGTCTGAACATACAGTAAGAGATGTCTGAGGAATATTTCCTCACATTTTACAAGATTAATGTCACGACACACCATATACAAGACGGTTCCAAGTGTCATATGTCAAAAAGGTCAAGAAATAGTTGCAAGAGAACATTATCAATGTTATCCAGAAGCCTGATCCCTATCGTGAATTGTTAGAATGAGTAACTCAGTGTCAAAGCACATCTGTGCCACGTTTGACTGAGAAGAAAAAATCTGCATTCAGAAAATGGACCTGACTTTAAAAAAAATAATGATTCTATGTCTAGCTTCCTGAAACTGGTAATTAACACACGGAAATTTGATCAAATATTACAAGATAAGTAAAATTTGGTATTTCTTACCTATTATAAGTTACTAGAAATTCCTTTTGAATTATAGCAGTGTTCCAACATTCTTTGCGGAGTCTGCAGCTGCATGTAAATCTTTCTATTATAACTAGAAAATACTCATCTGACTGGCTTCTAAGCTGGCCTATCATAGTGGAAGATGGAGGGTTCGAACTGGTTTAGAGCTGTGTAAGTGACAGTTGACCATTATTTTTTTTGAAGATATTTGGGGTTTTTCTATTTTCCCTGGAATTTAAAAAAAAGGTTTTTAAAATTTCGATCCCTCCCTTTAAATCCCGATATTTACCCTGCATTTTGGGAAAATTATGAATCACTCTTTTACTTTTTTTGTTTTTTTGGTGCACTCAGGTTAAGGGAGCCGGCTTGTAGGGGGAAAAAGGGAAAACCTTACTAGGATCAAATTTGGGGATTGAAACCCTTCCCGTTGGGTGAAAATGTTTTTTGTTTATCTGTTAAGGTTTTATTTTTCCGCTTTTTTGTCTCAACTTGGTTGCTAATTTAATGTTGCCTGCACCGGTGTTGCTACCGAATGTTGCCCCGCAAACCCGGGGTAGCTACTGAAAAGGGTTTCCTGCAATAGTGTTGCTACCCCCAAAGTTTTCCTAAACCCGTGTTGCTATTTGTTGCCCGAACCCGGTGTTGTAATGAATGTTTCCTGCAAACCGGTTTTTTACCCAATTTTTGCCCGCAATAGGTGTTTTTCTACTGAATGTTTTCCCCCGAAAAAAAGTGTTTTCACTGAATTTCCCCCCCCCCCAACCCGGGTTGCTTTTTGAATGTTGCCCCCGCACCGGTTTTTGCCCTTTTGAATGTTGCCTCTGCACCAAGGGGTTTTTCTACTTGGGAAAGACCCCCGCACCAGGTGTTTCCCCACCGGGAAAGTTTTCCCCGCAATAGGTGTTCTATGGGAAGTTGCCTAACCAAGTGTTGCTACTGAATGTTGCCCTGCACCAGGGGTTTTCCACGAATGTTTTCCGCCCAGGTGTTGCACCGAATTTTTGCCTTTCCCAAAAGGGTTTTTGCCCACTGAATGTTTTCCCCGAACCAAGTGTTCCTACGAATTTTGCCTGAACCAGGTGTTGCTTTTTTGAATGTTTCCCTGGGACCGGTGTTGCTTCTTTAAAGTTGCTTTTACCAGGGGTTTTACTGGGAAAGGGTTTCCTCAAACCCGGGGTTTCTTTCTGAATGTTTGGGTTGCACCAGCTTTTTTTGCTTCTGGGAATTTTTTTCCCCCACCGGTGTTGCTTTAACCCCCCGGGGAAAGTTTTTCCTTTCAACCCGGGGTTTGCTTTGAAAAGTTGCCCCCAACCCGGTGTTGCTTTTGAAAAGTTCCCCCCCCACCAGGTGTTGCCCACTGAAAGTTGCCTCACCCGGGGGTTTCTATGAATGTTTTCTTTTCCAAAAAGGGGTTGTTTTGAAGTTTGCTTGCACCCGGTTTTTTCTAATGAAAGTTGCATGCCAGGTGTTTCTTTTGAAGGTTTTTCCTGCACCAGGTGTTTTCTATGAATGTTTTCTTTTCACCAGGTGTTGCTTTTGAATGTTGCCCTTTAAAACCCGGTGGGGTTTCTTCTGAAAAAATTTTCCCCCGCCACCAGGTTTGCTATGAAAAGTTGCCTGCACCCGGTGTTTCTTCGAATGTTGCTTGCACCAGGTGTTTCAAATGACTGTTGCCTGCACCAGGGGTTGCACCCAATGTTGCCTGCACCAAGGGGTTGTACCCCAATGTTTTCCTGCACCAGGGGTTGCTACTGAATTTGCATGCAAACCCAAAGGGTTGCTTTTTGAATGTTGCCCGAAACCAAGGTGTTTGCTTTGAATGTTGCCCTGCCCCAGGTGTTTTTCTACTGAATGTTTTTCCCCCCACCAGGTGTTGCTACTGAAAGTTGCCTGCACCAGGGGTTTCCCAGAATGTTTCTGCACCAGGTGTTTCTACCGAAAAGTTTTTCCGCACCAGGGTGTTGCTACTGAATGTTTTCCTGAACCAAGTTTTTTGCCCACTGGAAAGTTCCCCGAATTTAAGTGTTGCTTCTAATGTTTCCCCTGCCTGCAAAGGTTTGTACGAATGTTGCCTCGCCAGGTTTTTGCTACTGAATGTTTTCCTGCACCAGGTGGTTTTTTTTACCGAAAGTTGCCCGACCAGGGGTTTGGGTACCGACTGTTGCCTGCACCGGTTTTTTCTCCCGAATGTTTTCCCGCCCCCCAGGTGGGTTGGGTTTTGTTTTTGCCTGAAAACCCGGGGTTGCTTTGGGAAAGTTTTCCCTTTCCCCAGGTGTTGCCCAAATGAATGTTGCCTGCCCCCAGGTGTTTTCCTAAAAGTTGCCTTCACCAGGTGTTTTCTACTGAATTTTTTCCTTTCACCAGGTGTTGTACCCCAATTTTTCCCGCGGCCCGGTTTTTGTACCGAAAAGGGTTTCCCGCACCAGGTGTTTTCTACTGAATGTTTTCCTGCACCAATTTGTTGCCCACTAAATGTTTTCCCTTCACCAAGAGTTGCCCACCGAATGTTGCCCGCAACCCGGTGTTTCTACCCAATGGTTTCCTGAAAACCCGGTGTTGCTAAATGGGAAAGGTTTTCCTGAAAAAAGGGGGTTGCTAATGAAAGTTTCCCGCGCTAAGTGTTTCTACCGAATGTTGCCCCGACCAGGTTTTGCTTTCCGGAAAAGTTGCCTGCGCCAGGTGTTGCTACCGAAAAGTTTTCAAGCACCAGGTGCTGCCACTGCTTTTTGGGCCCGCACCCGGTGTTGCTACCAAATGTTGCCTCACCCAAAAAAATTTTCTTCCCGAATGTTGCCTGCCCAGGTGTTGCCCACCAAAAATTTTTTCCTGCACCAGTTTTTGCACGAATGTTGCCCCGAACAAGGCGTTGCTACCTGAATTTTGCCCGCGCTAAAATTTTTGCTACCGAATGTTCCTGCCCCCAAAGGGGTTTTGCAACCCAATGTTGTCCCGCCCCCTTGGGTTTTTTAACCGGGAAAGTTGCCTGCAACCCCGCGTTGGGTACCGAAAAGTTGCCTGCCCCCAAGTTTTTGCTACCCCCAATTTTTTCCTTTCACCAAGTGTTGCTACCGAAGGGTTTTCCTTTCACCGGGGTTTTCTACCGAATGTTCCGCAAAAGGTGTTTTCTACGGAATGTTGCCTGCACCAGGTTGTTTTGCTCTTTAAGTTTTCCGGGACCAGGTGTTGCTACCCCCAAAGTTGGCCCGGAAACCCGGGTTGCTACTTTAATGTTGCCTTCCCGCAAACCCGGGTTTTTGCCCAAAATGTTGGCCCCCCCCCCCCCCCCGCACCAGGTGTTGCACTGAAAGTTGCCCCCGCAACCAGGTGTTGCCACTAAATGTTTTTCCCCGCACCAGGTGGGTTTCAAATGAAAGTTCCTGCCCCAAGGGCTGCTACTGAATGTTGGGCCCGCACCAGGAGTTGCTACTGAAAAGTTTCCTGCACCAAGTGTTGCTATGAATTTTTGCCCCCGCGCCAAAGGGGTTTTCCTTTCTGAAGAAAAACCCTTTCCCCCAGGTTTTTTGCTATAAAAGCGCCCTGCCCGGTGTTTTCAAAAAAATGTTGCCCGCAACCCGGGGGGGTTTCTAACCGAATTTTTGCCCGCCCAGTGTAGGGTACTGAAAGTTGCCCGCACCCGGTGTTTTCTACCGAATTTTTCCCCCGCACCAAGGGGTTGCTTTGAAAGTTTTCCTGCCCCCCGGTTTGCTAAATAAATGTTTTCCTGCCCAGGTTTTGGGTTTTACAGAATTTTTGCCCCGAAACCCGGTGTTTCCTATTTGGGAAAGTTTTTTGCACCAAGTGTTGCTAAATGAAAAGTTTTTCCCCGCACCCA